TGGCGAGTCCGTCCGTCTGGGTGAAACCCTAAATCCCCGGGTTTACCCACTATTTATACCACCGTATAGCCCCATTCTCGCCTCCCTCACCCTGAGAACACAGTGTTAGAGCCCCAAACCTCCATTGAAGAGCTTATTTGTGTTTGGTGCCCTCTTTGTGAAGGTGTGAAGAAGGAGAAGAAGGAAGAAGCAAGGTGAAGGGTTGGAGTGCAAAGATCCAAGGTCAAATCAGAGTTTATTGAGGTATTTTCGGAGTTCCATCTTATTTTATGCTTTTAACTTCCATTAGGGCTCTCCTAAGAGCTAGTTGGTGCTTGTTTCAAGCCTTACTCTTGCATGAACGTCTTATTAAGTCGATATATCTATGGATCTGAATGTTGGGGTGTTGTAGAGCCCAGATCTACTGTCTTTTTGGGGTTATATTGCATGTTAGCCATAGATCTACCAATTTTATGCATCTTTTAGCCTTGTTTCCCTTATTCATGAGGTTGTGCACGTAAAGTTGGAAACTTTACGTGGTAAAACAGTTTATTGGACTCAGATCTATCAATTGTATGCATTGGATTCAAACAAAATCAAGTAAAAATATGTTGCATGGCGGCGACTCGCCGAGTCGGAAGAACGACTCGACGAGTCGGGTCGCGAGTCCCGAGTTCTTCAGTTTTATCAGTGTCGAGTGGACGAGATGAGTTAGGGAGTGGACTCAGCGAGTTGAGAGTAGACTCAGTGATGGAGGGACTCGGCGAGTTTGTTCATACAACTCGGCGAGTCCAAGGCAATCTTCTTGGGGATCAAGAACAACTCGGCGAGTCGGATGAAGATTGTCTGAGTTCTTGGATCCAGAGGGTACTCGTCGAGTCGATGCCCCACTCGACGAGTAGCAGCGTGAAGAGCTGAGAGATGAGACTAGGACTCGGCGAGTTGGGTAGCCCGACTCGGCGAGTCAGCCCAGAGTGAGTTGACTTTGACCAAGGGTAAAAGAGTCATTTTACCCCAAGTGCAGTGTTTAGTATTTGATTGAGTGTGTTTATGGACTTGTAGCCGAGGAGATTCAGGAACAGCCGCCGTTAGCTTTCCGAGCCACACACTCAGCAGCCAGCTTACGAGGTGAGTTTCCTTCCAGTAGGAACGGGTCTAAGGCCACAATGCCGGCCCGTTCAGTTAGCAGTAGTTTCCGGATTTAGGTCTGATGCAGCAGTTAGTATGTTCGATGCCTTCGTGGCTCGAACAGGATTTGTGTGCTATGTTTTATGTGTTAAGTATTATGTGTTCCGGGCCACGGCCCGATGTAGCATGTCGTATATGTGTCATGCTAGTTGATGTGTTATGCCATGCCATGATCAGTCAGACAGTTCCGGACTTCGGTCCGATGCAGGGGACAAGGTCCCAGTCAGTTCCGGACATCGGTCCGATGCAGTTAGTTCCGGACTTCGGTCCGATGCAGGGGACAAGGTCCCAGTCAGTTCCGGACTTCGGTCCGATGCAGTAGTTCCGGACTTCGGTCCGATGCAGGGGACAAGGTCCCAGCCAGTTCCGGACTTCGGTCCGATGCAGTTTTCGGGCTTCGGCCCGATGCAGTGGGCAAGGCCCAATATGTGTTTATATGTTACTGTATGGTATGTGGTAGTTTGGGGGAGCTCACTAAGCTTCGTGCTTACAGTTTCAGTTTTGGTTTCAGGTACTTCCGCAAGCAAAGGGAAGAGCTCGGGGTGACAGCATCGCACACACCGCAGCATGACTTTTATCCTGGAATGTCTCTTGACATTTTGAGTTGATGTAGTATGATACAGTTTTCCGCACAATATTTTATTAGGTTTTGGGAATACATCGCATGTGTTTATGTTATGATACTTATATTATGGCTTTGATTATATGGAAAAACGAAAATTTTTGGGTCGTGTTTTTGGGTCGTTTCACTACTATAATAAAAATTACAAGGTATTAGGATTTACATACCTTTTGATTATTATTGGAAATAATCAACCAAATCCTTCTTCAAAAAGGTCTTAGAATGCAAGCACTAGAAATATAATGCCTTTGATGGTTTGTATCTAAACCCTAGCAAATAAGAAGACTTGAGGAGAGAGGAGAGGGAATATGATTTTTTATTATTCCTTTGGTAGAGGTGGTGGCCAAAAATGAGGAGCCAACGTGTTCTATTTATAGTTGATGCAAAGAGCCTTGGAAACCAAAATTTGAATATAATACTATTATTTCGAATTTGGTAATTATCCAAATCTTTACTTATCTTTAAGGATTAATCTAAAATCCTTAAAGAACTCCTAAAACCCATCCATAACCCATGGAAGGTTCTGGAACCTCTATTGTTCAAGTATTGAACAGTTACAGCTTAAGTCTATATACTTTTAATTAATCAAATTAATCCCAAAATTAATTCCAATTAATTTATGATTAATTATTAATTAAATAATATTATTTTTATTTAATATATTAATGTAATAATGTATTAAAAAAATTATTTATTGCTACTTATTAATCATATAATAACTCAATAAATCAGTATCTCTCTCTCAAAAAAATCATTCTAATCAATTACTAGTTTTGAGGGCAACCTAAAAGAACTTTGTATTTAATTCAAGTATATAACAATTTAGTTATTTCCATAGACACCTAATACAACAGGAATTTCGTAACATTCAGATCAAAAAAGCAAAAGGTCGTTGACAGGTCAAGTGTAGAATCTAAATTTCGAGGTGTGGCACATAGAGTTTTTCAACTTCTACTGATACAAAACATATTGAAGGACCTCAACTTTAACATCATGAAAACTATGAATATACATTGTAACAATAAAGCAACAATCATGATTGGGTATAACTCAATTCAGCATGATTACATGAAACTTGTGGAAGTTGACCGATTCTTTATAAGAGAAAATATTGACAAAGGGTATATTGTTTTCCATTTGTGAAGTCTGAAGATCAACTTGGAAATATACTTACGAAGGGCGTATATGGATGAATATTCAACCACACAATTGACAATTTCGACATGATTGATATATACTCGTTCCTGAGGGGTGGAGGGGGGGGTGTTGAATATTTGGGAAAGTAGCTGTATAATTCTAATATTAGGAGTATCCCAATGATGTAGCTTAATTTCCTTCTTATTCCTTTTTTATCCCTACAATGTTGCATCTATAACTAGAGTCTTCTCATTATTGTACATATACAAAAAGCATTATTGATCTTGAATCTATTCTTTCATTCTGTTTTGTACCAATTTTATCTTCACTAAAGAGGATCATGAGGCTATATTTCACCTTGTGGCGGTGAGAGAGGCAATGTTCACGTCGTGATGGTGCTCCGTACTCCGCTTCGGCATTACGTTCAACTGCTCTAAAAACCAGGTCTAAATTTAGGTTCAAATCCAGGTCTAAAACTAGGGTCGACCCCAGCCAGGGAGCTTTGCCTTAGAGCCAAGAAGGGATTGCCACCCCTTGGAACTCCCTACCAGGTAGGGGTGAGAATATGTTCGGTTTATAAGTTCTTCGGTTTCCTCGAATCGTTATCCTTGTTTTGAATTTTTTTGGTCCAATTCGAAAACCGAACCAAATCAAATTCAAGTTCTTTAGACCAAACTGAAAACCGAGTTCTAATTCGGTTTGGTTCGGTTTGAAAACCGATGAAACTAAATATTAACTTAAAAAATAGTGTTGCACATGAGGAATCGAGTATCGACGATCGGATTTTTGTGAGAGATTGAACTATGAAAAGTGATCAAGTCATTTAAGTAAAAAACTACATTGAGATTTTTGTGAGAGATTGAACTATGAAAAGTGATCAAGTCATTTAAGTAAAAAACTACATTGATAAAATAGTAAATGGGCTAAAATTAATTACTTTATAATTAATATTTATATTTATAATATATAAAATATACAATATATTTTTTAATTAATTAATTTATGAAATTCGGTATTCGATTCGGTTTGTTTAAACTTCATGAGACAAAAACTCGAAACAAAAACCAAATTCATAATTCAGTTTGGTCTCGGAAGAAACTAAAAACTGAATTTAAATATGGTTTGGTCTGAACTTGATTTCGATACGATTTGGATTTCGGAATTTTTGGTTTCAAACCAAATAATTCCCATCCCTTCTGCCTGGGGCACTGCCCCGACCCCAAAAGAAAAAAAAAAAAAAGAAGTTTTAGCAAGTTGTTTTGGTAAAATTGGTGTTAATTCTAAGCGAAAAAGTTTTTATTAATTGGTACGATCTCTGTCTCTCCATAGCTTTATCTCTAGTTCTAATATATTTTCTCCTCGCTTTAAAATGATGAAATTTAGAAGTGCTAACTCTAGATCTACGAAATCAATATAAAAACTCTTTTTAACGTGACCCTTGATCTGTGTATTAGGTTTCTTAATTAATTAGCCGACATAAGTTACAGTTATAGATATTATTAACAAGTGTATGTAAGACTTTAAAATCACCTCCCAGAAATTCTTGGCAGCTTTCGTTCGTCGGGTAAAAATAGGAGGAATAAAAAATATATTCATGCTTCTGGTGGCATCATGTTTAAAACAAGGCAGTTCGGGTTTTTATCATGCGGATGACTTTTATATCACAACAACTGATTAATCGTTAGACAGTCTAAATAAGATACAAATTTACGTCGCCATGATTTACAACAAGTTGAAAGGATCGATCCAGCAACAACAAATACGTAATCTATCGTTATCTTAGATATAGACACTCTACAATATTGAGCCATTGTCTAAAAAGAATTTAGGGTGTTATTATAATATTAATACACACCGAAGTGATGAAACCTCGCGCATGCAAGTGCCCCTGATAGCAGACATCTGTAACTACTATGTCCCTTGGATTTTTATAACGAAAAGTCCACCTTTTTTTTTGTGAAGAAAAAAAGATAGCACTTGGATTCAGAGAATATGGACGACGTATAAATCCCCCTCTTCAACAATTTGAACCCCCCCCCCCCCCTCTCTCTCATCGTTTGTAACGTAAGTTGGTATGGAGATAAAAAACCCTGGAACTACAAGATTTACCCAAGATTTAGTATGCACCAGTAATGGCGAATTTGGGCAGGAAAGTAGATCTTACACTTGTGCTTTCTGCAAACGGGGCTTCTCGAATGCACAGGCACTTGGTGGTCACATGAATGTCCACAGAAAGGATAGAGCCAGGTTACAAGAATCAATCCAGGAGACTCTAATTACGACAGAAACCACAAAGGGTATGAAATCCATGAATCAAGGCGAAGCGCTGTTGTCAAGCGATGAGAAGAGTGACAGCGTACCTAAGAGGCCATGGACTTTCACGGAACCAAATAGTCCCGGAAGCTCCAGAAAGAAAGATCACGCTGTTCATTTGAAAAAAGCAGCACTGCAACTATCTTTGTGTATTGAGTCATCGTCTACAAGTGATTCTTGCCTCAGCTCAGATAAAATTTCTTCTTTAGCATCATCATCAACAGAAGTGGACCTTGAGCTTCGGCTAGGGATGGAATCTGAATCGACACCAAGAGACTGTTTTATAAGAGACTAGCTAGAGAATCATGTCTTCATGATGATATGAGAAAAAACCAAACAGGTTTAGCTCTTGATAAAAATGCTTTCTAGTTAACCTACATGCTTTCTTTAACGAATATGCTTCTATACAGTACTCACTATTTTGTAATAACTCATTACTTATCTGCCACCATCATATATTTGCTTTCTTGGTTCATGGCCTCTTTTATGTTCATCATGACTATGAACATAATCATAGATTTTCTTTATATATCCTTTTTGATAGGACTAGATTCAAATTGTTAGTCTATTGATCAATTGAAACACGACCTTCATTTTGGGGGTATGTGTGTATATGCAATCTTCCAAAAATGTTGCATGTGTACTAAAATTCATTTTGGCCAAAGATAATATATGTTTGCAATATCCTATACCAAAACAACTTTTGAGTGTGAACTACGAGTGTCTTAAAGTTATTTGTTAAACATATTATTGATTCATCTAACGTCCTTAGGGTTCGTTGTTATGTGTATATATACAAGTGTCAATACTTGTAGGAACTAATGGGTAAAGTTTTGTAGTTAAAGTCCGAACATATATACGTGTTGAAAAAAAGATGGATTTTACCTATTTTGAACCATAATTATTAAGTCTTTTCCAAGCTCGAAATGGATAGATATTTATGGGTGTATATTGTCTTTCATAGTGCCTTTGTTTTGGTTTACTGAATGTCCCAAATGGAGATTGGAGGAATAAGAAATTAATCACTAAAATATGATCGTTGAATAATGGTTTGGAGGGAGGAGTGTATACAATCAATTCAGAAAACTTAAAGTTCTAAACCATTCCAATCAATGTATAAGAGATGGTTTTACTATAATTTCTTTGAATGCATAGTAAATTACAATATGAAATTCAAATATATACGAAGACCAAATGTAACACCCTTCAGAATAGATTGGTTGATGGCTTGATGGATCAAAAGTATATTTTTTGAGAAAAACCTTGTGTCACAACGTGGTGAATGTAGTGCCACGAGGCGTTAAGAGGAAGGTCACGATGTGACAGCTGATGCAGCCCAAGCCCATGATTTTTAGGGTTTTTTTTTCTTATTTATGGACCTTGACTTTAGGGTTAGGCCATTCTCTTCAGCATCCACCCTCTTATCTCGAAAACCCTATCCTCATTTGAGTGTTCTTAGTGTGGTTGTGGTGTTCTTTAAGTATTAAGCCTTGGATTACAACTTGAAGAAGAAGAATGTGCCCTTTAAGCAAGATCCAACAAGCAAACCTCCTTACCACCTTCTTGCACACCATATGAACCTTTGTAAGTCCCCCAAGTTCCTACTTTTATGTGATATTCTTCTAGATCTAGGCTTATAAGCTTGTCCTTCATGATTCAAGGTGGTTTGAGTGGATGGACTCCATAAAGTTGGCAACTTTATGGATCCTTGAGGTCCCTTTATTTTTATATGTTCTAGATCTAATGATCTATGAAGTCATTGATCTCAAGCAAGAGTTTTGGAGCTCATTTTTTTCATTATTGACCTAGTTTAATAATGACATGCATTGGGCATGCATGTCCACAAAGTAATGACTTTTATGATGTATTTGCGTGTTAGAAAGACTCCTGGAAAATATGAATCAATGGCTTATAGGATTAAGCAAAGGGCTTGCCACGACATGGTCATACTCTGCATCACGCTATCTTGTCCTTGCATGCACATGACGTGGCAAAGAGGTCTCCACATCGTTGTGAGTGTTGGCTAGTTGATGTTGACTTTTGTTGACCATTGACTATTGACTTTTGACCAGTTTGACTTTGGGTTAAACTTGAAGGAATTGGGTTATTGATTGAGGATTTATCTTTGTTTGATGCTAGTCGGTTCACGGGAGCGATCAGAGCAAGGAGTGATTGTGTTGATGTGTTCCTTGGGTCTTCAATTCATGCAAGTTTCCTCAATATACTATGTGTTACAGTATATATCCTTGTATGTTAGGATATAGGAGTAGTGGTATGATGGTTAGAATACCAGGAGTCAATGATCATCTACTTGAGTGCCCTAAGGGTTGTATGCAGTCATGTAGGATAGCTAGCTTGAGAACTCTTGATCTAGGCTTTCTTGTGTGTTCCATGTTTGGTTGTGGCTTTAGAATGGGATCATTTGTTCGACTGTCTATATCACCTCAAATTACATATAGCTATTCATTCATCGGTGAACTTCCAGTGGTAACGTAGAGTATTTGTATGAAGCTCGATGTGTGGTAGTGAGATGTAAATGAGTAGACTAGTGTAGATAGTTGCCTATGTTTATGTTCTTGTTTGATTGCTTGTTTGATATATTTGTCGACATATTGGATATGGGTTGAGGCAGTCTTACTTTGTACGGTAGGACAAAATACCCCTCTTCTGGAGGGGATGGTATGCTATAGGTAGGTACGGATTAACTGTATGATGTGGGAGAATGGAGCTTGTGTATTGTCTGCCTTGCAAGGAGGTCCGGTCACTAGATGCCCAAGAGAGCGGTCCAGGCATGTAATAGGCCTTGAAAGGCGGGCCAGACAGACCAAAGGCTCGTACGTGCATACATTGTATGTGTGTTGTGGTGTGTGATATTTTAGGGGAAATCACTAAGCTTTGGCTTATAATTTTGGATTAAATATTTTTTCAGGTGCTAATGGTGTTCATGGGAATGCGAAGACGTGGTTGTACACACTCATCAGCAACATTGTAGATTCCACATTTGTTATACTACTCTGATTTTCAAACAATTGTATTTTGGAACAAATGAGTTTTCTTAACTTGGGTTTTATGAAAATAGTGTTTTACCTTCATTTAAAAAGAAAATTTTGTTTGTGAAAATGGGATGTTACACCGAAGAACACATCTCACCTTTTAACAAAATGGACTTAATCCAATATTTCTCGCACAATAAGTGACACCAAGAAAGTATGTAATATCTATCAGTGAGTCCGTACCCAAACTATTATATAGTACATGAATTTTTATAAATGATAAGTTCACATAACCAAATACACATCATTCCATAGTAACTCAACAATTATTCATGCATGGGAGATATATAATAATGCTAAGACGAGTGATCCTTGAGAAGTCTTCATGTTGCACCCCTTTTTGACAGCTCGATGGTGTATTTTGGCCTCCATGATGGGAGCATGCCTCCGCGATATGAGAACGCATGGAATATTGTTAGTGCTCCATTATTGACCTCCTGTGTTTGTTTCAAATGGGTTTATGTTGGCCACTCGGATGAAATGATGTATCGTTTTTTTAAAGTTAGTGGCAGACTATGTTGAGCAACTCTAGGATATACAAGATATCTGACCAAGATATTCATACTTACGCAATGTCATCTACAATTTCACACACATTTTTTTCCTTTTTTTAGTCATCTTCTTTACAATCAACACCTACCTATTTTTCTAGTATGTAGTTGAGATAAACTATTTAGATTTGTAACACTTGGTTTTTGGGGAATTTTTTAAGTAATTTAAATTGTTATTGAAATAAATTTAAAATAACAAATGAACAAATTGATGGGTTAATAAAGGGAAATAGTAAAATAATTCATAATAATAAATAAATTTTAAGAAGGTTAAGTATTAAAGTTATAACATTTAGTGATAAGCGACTAAAATTGTCAAAACGGGGAAAATGCTATTGACCAATTACAATGGATCGTAAAGATAAAATCAAGCAATAAAAATCAAGAACAATCAAAAACCAATTTAGATTAATAATTGTCACAATGAGTGAATTCAAAAGGGCCATAACTTTTACAATGAACCCTAGCACTACATATATACTATGACATACACAAAATATGGAAATTCCTATAAATCAACGACTTAAACAAAACTATAAAAGATAATATCATAATCACAAAGATATTAGATCTGCTAAACATAGTGCCTATGAAATCTTCACGTTAGCACTGACGATATATTTACAGTGTGTGAGATGGTGTCTGATGATCAAGGTGAAATGTGTTTAACTCATCAGATTATAAGGTTCGACCATGATTTCTTGATGATTAGGGTGTTGTCGATTGCTCCACGCTTATAACCATTTTGAAGAAGATATGCAGTGAATGTCTCAAACCATGCCATGAGAGCTTAATTCCGTCTATACACAACCTTATCTAGTTTGTTGACATAATCAGGGAATTCTTCTCTTTCAAAACCCGAGGGTTGCTTGATAAAAAACTTATTCTTGAGATTCCCATTAAGAAAGGTTGTCTTTGATAAGTTTTATAGGTTACAAAAAAATATGTGGCGTAAAAAATTAACCCTATGTTCACATGAAACCTATTGGATCTAAGTTTTCTTGTTGATTGCAACAAACAATTGAACATCAAGAACCCTAGGAATACCCTACAATTTTCGAAATTCATAAAGGGTTATAGGGTTTACATGCTTTTTTATTATTGTAGTAAATAATCAACAATTCCTTCTTGAACAGCTTCAGAAAGCAATCACCAGAAATCTCGTGCCTCTAATGGTTTGTAACAAAAAATTAGTAACTAAAAGACTTTTAGGAGAGGGGGGAGAGCTTAAAATTTCAGCTCTTGAGAGGGTTATATCATGGACGGGACTAATGAACCCTATAAGTTATTTATATAGGTGAGTAAGGAGTCTTGGATAAGGTAGGTTTCCTTAGATAACCCCGATCCTTTTTCTTGCTCCCTAAGGTGCTTAAATAGAGTCCAAGACCCTAAATTAGGATTTGGGTCTGACTGGAGTACATCCAATGTACTTCTGGTATGCCCAGCGTACTCCCTCAAGAACCACAATCAATTTACTTAGTACGCCTAGCGTACGCCAATGTACACGCCGTGTACTAGCCTTCACACTAGTACGCCATGCGTAAACATGTGTACACCCCGTGTACTAGATTAAACCCAAAAATCACCAAACATTTGATGGCCATTACTTCTTTATTATAAGTTTGTTTCCAACAATCCTTATATTTACGAAAAGGTAATGAGAAAATCTACATTACTATCAAGTCATACTT